TTTTTGTAAATAAGTGGTGAGATGCAGTAACAAGTTGTGGAACCGCCATTTTGGCTCGAAAACAGGCGTCATGAACCGCGGTACTTTGTAAATGTAGGGACTTTACTTATAGTAGTAAGACTTCATTACTGTATGACCTAGATCTGTCAGAGGATCCTACGTCATCCAAGTTAAGTAAGGTAGTTAGTATAGTTCTGTGTATTCATTAAATGTAATTGTTACTCTGTTCGTTAATAAAGTTATTAGTAATAACCATAACAATGAGAAATGCGTGTTTAATCTTATTTTTTTTACTTCAGATGTCCAAGTTGAACCGCAGAGCACGATAATTTCCATAGAAAATGGTTTAAAGGGTGATAAAGCTCTTATAAGCCCTATGTATATGGCAAACTACTCACACTATTTTTCAATGAGTGCTTTAAGTCTTACAAAACGTGTTTTTTATGCTATATTTTGTAAATCGCGTTTTTATTCTTTTTTTTAACAAATTTTGACAATGTAGGGAAATAGGTATGTAGCAGTTGGTAACACTTGAAATAGAAATTTGAATTGACAATTAATTGACAAAATGTATTCACCCGAAAAAAATGTTTTATGCACACCTCCCAAAATAAAAGAAATTGCTCAGAGTTCAATGTCCTCTTCATTGTGGACCTTGTATTCGATGCTAAGAACGTTCACAACTAAAAACATTAATGACCCAATGTCACCAACTTAAACTGGTTCCATAAAATGTTACTAAAATCTCATTACAGCATTGGATGCTGTAAGGAGTCTCATTACAGCACCCGTGATAGATTATGTGGTAGTGGACCAAGGAATGTGGGAGAGGATAGAAACATTTAAGGTTGGGGCGTTGGTAGAGTCGGATCACCAGCCTCTAGAATCGTGCATAAAAGGATCGATGGGAAGAAAAAACGAAAGCTGGAGTCAAAGGGTGGAGGGTCCGACGGGTTGAATGAACTAATTATGATGGTGAGGGAGGCGACGTTGCAGAAAGAGGGAAGAACGTGGGATAGGGAAGACAGAAAAGCCAAGAGAGAAACTAAAAGGAAGAGGTAGAGATAGATATATAGAGGGCAGGAGAAAATAAAAAAAAAGAATGCAAGAAAAAGAAGAAGGAGCTGAAATGAAAGGGAGGCGGAGAAGATTAAGGAGTTGAAAGAGGAAAATGAGGATGCTTAAAGAGGACGAGGAAGTGAAGAGAGGAAAAAGAAGGGTGGTGAGCAATTATAGGGGACCACCCTGTTGGACACAACTTTCAAAATTTATGCAAAGATACTGCTGGGGAGGTTGGAAGAGGAAATGGAGAGGTGGGAATTGTTGCCGGATTGATAATATATACATACTAAAACACCTGGTAGATAGGTAGTTCAACAAGAAGAAAGGAAAGTTGCATTCGATAACGTGGATAGAGAGAAGTTGTGGGAGGAAATGAGGGGCAGAGGTATCACAAAACAACTGATAGAGAGGGTGAAGGAGATGTACAGGGAGACGATGGCCAAGGTTAAAGTAAGTGAAGAGTTAAGCGAGGTATTCTGGACGACAAAGGAATTGAGACAGGGGTGCCCGCTTAGTCCCACACTATTTGCAACATATACGACAGACTTGGGGAAAGAGACTTGTGATGGGGCAAATGATTGGGGTGGTGATAGGAAGAACAAAGGTGCACACCTTGGCGTATGCGAACGATTTGGTGGTCGTTGTTAGAGAGGTGGTGGAGATGATCCTGGAAAGATATTTTAAAGGTGTGTCCAGACATTGCGCAACATTTGCAGTAAATATTCGTGGGTAATCGTGTGTGGACGTGTTGCCGTATACAAAAAGATAGATAACGAAACATCGATTCGTTTAATTGAGGTATATGGATCACAAGAAAAAGATTACTACAATAAAATTAAACATGAAGACCAATGGGACGAAATATTTTTTGAAATTTGCCGCGCAATGTTTGGACACACCTTAAGGCGAAGAGATTAAGGCAAAGATAATGAAGTTCTGCAAAGGGGGGGAGAAGAAATAACAAGGAATGGAGGTGGCAGAGAAGAGAGATAGAGCAAGTGCACGTGAGCGCGACGGCAAATTGAGCGAACAGGGTGATGGGACTGGTTGGGGATGGGGGAAAGAACTTTTGGCAGGGACGTGGAAAAAAGAAAGGTTATGTTTGATGGCTTGGTAAGGAGTACAATGATGTACGGCGCAGAAGTATGGGAATGGAGAGAACAAGGATTAGGGGTTGGTAAGGGATACTCCAGGGTATGTAGTGAGGGTGGATGCAATAAGGGTGGAGACTGGGAGAAGAGCAGTGAAGTATGAAAAAATGATAGAAGCAAGACCGCATGCAGGATCCGGGGAGAATGCTGGAGAGAAATTAAGGAGAGGAGGCTGATCTATGGACTATTCACTAACTGGGATCGAAAACAGAAGAGCGGAAAGAGGTAAAATGTGGAGAGAACTGAGAGATAGGGACAGGAACATACATGAGGAGAGGGGGAATAAGTACTGGGCGGACGATGTGGAGAGATGGTGTAGACTATGTTGGAGACGCTGGAACACATGCTGACAGGGTGTAGTGAGCTAAGGGAGGAGGTAATGGACAGGAAGCAGATTTTGGGAGAGGGGGCGAGGGCAAAAGATGGATGAGGGAGGTGATGTAAGCGAGGAGGCGAAGGTGTAGAAAGGGAGGAGGAGGATAGAGGATCTAGAGGTGTATATACATATTGTACATATTTTAAAATTAGTTTCAGTAATGGCGGACTTCCGCTTCTAACGGAAATGGATATCAACTTTGTTATTTTAAATGGAACAGCCTGTATATTATTTTCAATGGCACTTTGTTAAGGATACCTTAGGTCTAACTGGTATCGTTTTTGAATTACATGACGATTTTCGAAAAAAATAACATTTGCAGCGTCTTATATTTTTCAAGATACTAATTTTACAGTTTACACTATTGTTATTATTGTCAAAATCATAGTTCAAATTTCAAAGAAAGACGTTAGCGTTACCAACCTACGGCACAAATTACTAGATATGGGGAAAATTCTGTAAAGACAGTTTGTACAACAGCGAATATCTTTATCCTCCCGATAAGTTTATCGGCCGGATAGTTATCAGGTAGATTTATCGTAACATTGTACAAACGGCCCTAAGTGGTATCTCAACGAGACCATTCATTAGACGTTTATTCTGGCCAAAAAAAATTTGAGAATTCAGATTTAAGTATAACCAATTGCGTTCTCTTCGACTAAAATATCAGATTTTTAGCACTTCCGGTTATATGGAAGTGCTAAGAAGGATTCAGAACGTGCTTAAACGATATGGAGTATGTTTCGGTGCCGAGAACGGAAGCGTCTAATGCATGGCTAAGGCATGGCTAATTTGTTAGGTGTCTTAATATTAGTATACTAAAACGAATTAAAATCGATAACAATTAATTAATTCTCCCGACGACCGAGTGAACTTGTGTGAGAAGCTATACCTTCGTTGTCAAGAGAATTTGCTATGTACTGTGGCAGAAAATTTTCTTGACAACCTGTTTTTGAACTTGAGAAGAAGCTGTTGGTATCAACTGGATGGAACTCCGACACATTGCACCCGAGAAATATCCTAACAATCACCTCAATCGAGTCTTACTTTTTTTGGCAGTTTCTTACCATTCTGCCCAGTCATTTTCAGCATTTTTCAGTTATAATAGGACTTTTTCTAGTAATTCATTAACTCACGCGATCTCTTTCTTCCGTTTCCCGTCTCGTTCCAGACTCTATATAATGTCATCCTACCAGCATCCTTTTTCTAGTATTAAGGAATTTTTAGTCTCTTTTCTTTCTAGTTTATTCACCATTCTTCTTTCTGTTTAGTTCCTTTTTTCTTTTTTTACACTGTATTCTGATTCTTACTTCTTTTACAAGTCACTTACCGGCAACCTACCATTCTGTCAAGTCCTTTTCAGTATCATTCTGCTATTACCGATCTCTTTCCATTAACTCATTAATTCGCGCGATCACTTTCTTCCGTTTCCAGACTCGTTTCAGATTTTCTAATTTCATTATAGCAGCATCTCTTTTCTAGTATCAAAGACTTTTTAGTTTCTCTCCTTATTGGCCAGTATATTTATTTTGTTCAATCTTGCCTTCGAAATTGTGAATTTGTACTGTAATATACTATTCTTTCCATTCTTCTTCTGTTATTATCGGTTCCTTTGGACTCTATAATTTCATGCATGCAGCATCCTATTTCTAGTATCAAAAACATTTTTTTTGCTCAATTTATTTCTTCTCTTCAGTCTCCATCCAGTATCTTTCTTCCCTTTACCAGTCTTTCTTCTTTCTGCTTAGGTTCTTTTTTCTCTTTCTAAACTATATTTAGACTTTTAATTTTTTTGCCCGTCTCTTAACGGCAACCTAGCATTCTGCCCAGTCGTTTTGAGTATCTTTCTGGTATTATCGATCTCTTTCCAGTAACTCATTAATTCGCATGGTCTCTTTCTTCTCTATAATTTCATCCTATTTCTAGGGTCAAAGACATTTATTACTCTCTTTTCTTTTTGCTGAGTTTATTTCTTCTCTGCAGTCTCTATCCAGTATCTTTCTTTCATTTACCAGATATTTAGACTCTTACTTCTTTTATCAGTCTCTTATCGGCACCCTACTATTCTACCCAGTTTCTTTTCAGTATCTTCCTGCTATTATCAGTCCTTTCCAGTAACTCATTATTTCGTGCGGTGTCTTTCTTTCGTTTCCAATCTCGTTTCAAACACAACATTTTTCTGCTTAAATCCTTTTTTTCTCTTTCTAAACTCTGTTTAGTCCCTTATTTCTTTTGCCACTCCCTTACCAGTAACCTACCATTTTGCACAACCCTTTTCATTACCTTTCTGCTATTAGCGTTCGAAAAAGGTTTTGCAGGCAGGAAAAGTATCAAGTTATGCTTTTGTAGTGGTTTATAACTTACCTTATTATAATAATTGATTAGTTTGATTAATAAATTTATAATCTTACCTCATAATAAAGTTGAGCGCATCCCAACAAATTCTTAAAATCCCTGACAAACTCGAAAACGCTTCCATACTTATCCGAGCTTAATCGCCTCTTTATCGAAACCCACGATATCGGAAGACCCGAATTTTCCTCCTCGTTATTCTCCATCGGTAAATCTTTATTCTCATTGCTTCCGAAAAATCCAATCAGTTTATTCAAACCTTCCTTTTCCAAGTTTCTCGCCACATCCTCCAAAATCATTCGCATATCTTCATCTAGATGTTTCTTTCTTTCCGAGATTTCCACATTTTTTTTCAACAAACCACCCCCGGTTTTTCTTTGTAACACTTTTACCTAAATACATTAAAAAAGTATTTTTTTTAAATAAATTAATTAAAGTTATTTATATTACAAGTGGAGTAGGAACATAATTACAGTACAAGTGTGGTTAATTGTAACCACATGAGTACTGTAATTATGCTCTAGCCCACGTGTGATATACAGCATTTTATCTACGACTGCTAAAAATTACTAAAAAATCAATTTCTTTGAGTCTATTTGACATTTATAAAAATATTTTGAAATGATTGTTAACAATTTTGAATTGTCAGTTTCAACAACATGTTTACTCATCTGGAATAAGTGTTTTGAAATATAAAAACATAACAATTAATGTTTATAATAAATAGTATTGTTTCTGTGTAAGTAGATAGCACTTTTTCTTTTGTATTGTTGCTCGTTTCAATAAATTAAGTCTGTTCTGATTAGGCTAAAATGCGTTACGTAATGAAACCAGTGCGGTAATGAACTTCATTACGCAACTCAAATGCGTGCGGTAATGATGACTTATCCAAGCAGTCGTAGATAAAAAGTTTTAAACATTACCTGATGAGGAAATTCAAATTTATTAACATTAATCGACGAGTTATTTTCTTCATCCTTTTCAACATTATCATCATCATCAAAAAAAAAATTATTATTATCCAACCATTCTTGAATATTCGCCGAGTGATGTTCCAAAGTGTTTAAATCAATAAAGTACTTCAACGAGGCATCTTCATTGTTATTTTCAATTTGATTTTGATCAATTTTTTGATTCCGAGCCTCTTGCAATTTTAAATTTAAACTCGCTTCAAACTCTTTCGGTTTATTAATTTTATCCAATAAGAATGGGACGGCGCTTTGAGCATCTCTCCACATTTTATCGTTCGTTTGACATTTCTTTTTATTCCCCATCTTTTTGTAATGCGCCGAAACGTTTTGGGCCGTCTCGAAAAATTCAATCGAAGGACTCGAATTCGAAGAATCAACGTTGTTTTTAATGTTTATCTTATTTTCTGCTAAATTATCGTTTATTACGTTTTCGTTCAAATTTAAATTCGCCTTTTTTAAACCTTTTTTTGGAACGTTATAACTCCCGGGTTTCATATAAACCCGACTTTCATTCTCCGAGTCATCGTCTTGAGGCGAATTCGTGCTTTCGGATAACAAAATGTTCTCGATTAAATCAGAAATTGAATTTTTATTCGAATTAATAACATTTTTTTGTTGGAAATCTTCTAATTTAATCGTGTTAATTTGTGGGGTGTTTTGAGTCATCATGGGTTGAGTTTGAATGTTAATCGCTTGATTTGGAGTGTTTCCGATTGCTTCGGTTATTTTTTCTCTGCAATTTTTTTCTTTTTTATTAATTTGGACTAAATTTGGGTTGCTAACGTTGTTATCGAGGTTTGTAAAGATGCGGATCATGTGCCCGGCTAAAAGTTTGGTGTTTTTCTCCCAAACTAAATAGCAATTCTTAAAATCTGATGTTAATTCGCGGTCGATGTTGCCCAAAGTGCCATCTTTCGTCTCTAAATAACCCTTTAACATGTGCCAACAATTAATTAACCGGACGTAGGCGTAAATAAAATCTTTCGTGGCCCAAGGGATTCCTTGCGAATGAATGTTAGAAACCGTATTGCTCGGTTTTAAAATTTCGCTCCTCGTCCGATTGCACAAATTCTGGATGTTTTTAAAGCACGGTCTATGTTGATTTCTAATCGCAATTTTTTCTGCCATAACGCAACCTTGTTCCAAAAACTTCGTAAAATTCTCGTTTGAAAACAACGCCCCACCACCAACGACATGAACAACGCTTTGATCTGGCCCCAAAAAGTATTCTTCAACCAACCCACTATCGCTTTCTTTAATTTCATCGGAATTCGTTCGAATTCCACCGCCGTTTTGAGGCATATTTGGGTTTTCTGAGCCATCGAAACTTCTTCGATCTCTCGGCGGAGGACCAAAATCGAAACCGGGTTGTTGGTTTTGACCGGTTCCGGTTAAATTCGGCGAAATTGCCACGGGGATGCCCCCATTTTGCATGGTACTGTTGTTAGAGAAGGGAACGTTCATTGGGCTCATGTTAAATTGGGTAAATTGGTAATGATGCATATTGTAAGGCCGGGGTAATGGTTGAAGATGAAACGGGGTCAGAATCGGAGGGCGAAAGGTGGTGTAAAAAGGGTACATACAGCTACAAACCTAAAACAACGAGAAATTAAAACTTATTAATATTGTTATATCTTTTTAAGTTGCTTAAAAGCATCGATTATAATCAACTACATGATATTCTTCATAAATAGTAGTATAGAAACGCCGATTTTAGATAGAAAGTTGAAACTCAGCACCTCCGTGACATCATCCGCTTAATGTAAAAGTATAGGGAGGGGTGTCAACCAAAATCTTGGGGAAAAAAAATAGGTTGGTATTGAAAAAGTAACTAGATCCGGTGATTTTTTAAAAAAGTTACTAGAAAAATTCGCGCCAGCTAGTGGTTGGTAGTGGAACTAAATCACTACCAACCAGGTAGAATGTTACTTTTTTTAAAAGTCACCAGATCTAGTTACTTTTCCAATACCAACCCATTTTTGGCACAGCCTTTGGTTGGTACCCCTCCCTATACTTTTACATTGAGCGAATCACGTCACGGAGGTGCGGAGTTACAACTTCCTGTCTAGAATCGAAAAAACACAGTACTGAAGCAACAAAAAAAAGTACACAAGTCAAGGAAATAGTTGCTCATGTAAAGAAGAAAGCATCGAACGAACTTGGTAAGAAGTTTGAGCAACAAAATAAACAACAATCAGAAACTATTTCTCCGAACTATTAAAAATCTATTAAGACTGACGGATGATGTTGAAGTTATAAGAAGGTGAAAACAACATTTTGAGGAATTACGGCACTCAAAAAATAGAAGGGACTAAAGATGATGAAAGCAGTGAATCCTATAGTTAAGAAGGGCAGAAAATTGCATCACAGCTGAAAAGGGGAAGAGTACAGAGAAGCATCAAAAATGCTTACAGACAAGAATTTGTCCTAGTCCACTTATGAAAATAAGCAAACCATAAATCTGAAAGTGGTGGATAAAAAGATGCATAAAAGCTGTGATGTTAATGACATCAAAGATATACTAAACAAAAGAGTCTCTTCCTTTATACATCTTGGATTTTGCAAAGAATCCATGAAATAAATAACATATTAGGAATGTGTGTTAAAATCGAAGAGTGCACAAATGTCCCAGTGCAAAAGGTGTCAAGGTTGGAGCCACACCAAAGCTTACTGCCACAAGAATCCGAGATGTGTTAAATGCGCTGGTGAACACTGGATCAGTGAAAACAGTAAAGCCAAAGAAATCCTGGTTAAATGTTTCAACTTTGGAGAAAATCTTCCAGCGAACTACCGAGGATGCATTGTAATTAAGGAACTAACAGCTAAATTCAAATAAAAGAAAGCCAGGCGTCTCGTATGCCAAGAAAGCGATTGGTGAAACTACAGCGAAAACTGTAAGTACATTAGTCGATAAAAAGGTTGGCAGAAGAAAGAAACAGAGGAAACAATAAAAACATTATATGCAAAATGTCTAAAAAGGAGCAACTAAAAATAATGTTGTGGAATTCCAATGATTTTCGACTGCATCAAAATAAACTACTGTCTTATCTCCGAAACTATTTATCACACAATTCACCCTAGTAATGTAGGGCTAGAAAACAACAATGGATGTAGCAGTTCTGTTAGATTCTACTGTCCTTGCGCAGAGACCAAGGACAGTAGAATCTAACAGGACTGCTACATCCATTGTTGTGACAACGTTCCCGCACATTACGTCACACCATATGCCACGCCCAGTTAACTGTCATTGAGTTTTATGCGTTTGCTCTGTGTTTTTAGAGGTTATATGATAGACATTAATACGTCTAAAAAAAATAAAACCTCAAAAATAATATGAATACGTCTACGATATACGATATAACCTCTAAAAATAAAAAAAAATATCTTGATGTGACGCTGGATTCCTAAGAATAAGTGCAGATATTGTAAAGAAAACCACATAATACACTTCTGCATGAAATTCAAAAAACTTACAGTTCCAGAAAGGATAGTGCAAAGCAACTGGTGCAACTCAACGTTAAGATGTCAAATTTGCCATAAACCACATCATACGTAGCTTCATAGAGATGAGAACAAGCAGATTAAATCTTCAAAAAAATGTAATCCTAGTTTCTACCAAAAAAGAAAGAATAAACAGGATTGCATCAAACGGACTAGAAAGTGAAGTTCTTCAATCAACAGCCCTGGTGAAAGTCAAGATATTTTCCGGCAGTTTCGCAAAACTCCGAATGTCGATCCAGGATCCCAAGCCTTACTCGCTCATCCAAGGCAGAAAATACATGCCAACATAGAAAGTGGATCTAAACGTTCAACCTCATTTTCCGAGTAACTTTACCCTCAATACCACTTTCCTTATTCTATCTAAGCTAACGCAATCATTACCAAATAAAAATCTACCAATTTCCTCAGACGAATACTGGAACAACAAAATCCTAGTTGATTCCATCTATAATATTCCTGGTCCCATAGATGCTAACATCGGAGCAGAAGAATATGGAAAAATCATTCAAGTAGGGATTCATAAAGCTGAACATAGATTATTGGGACACAAGACGAAGTTTGGATGGATTTTATCAGAAACAATGAAAGAAAAACAAGCTACCACAATTATAAGCATGATAAATCTAGTCGAAGAAGACGCTCAATTAAAAGAGTTTTAGGAAATCAAGAATTCAAACGAAAGAAGATGCCGATTGTGAAGAGCATTGCCAAAACAACACAAACTGAACCAGAATGGTGAATCCAAACGTCGACTAACACAAAAGGAAAGAAGACTGACAAAAATGAACAATTGAAACTCCAATACCATAAATTTATAGAAGAATACTTAAAATTTGGTTATATGGCAAAAATACAATCCGAAGATCAACCTGGATCAATCCAAAACACAGACTAGTGTTTGATGCATCGAGTAAAACCTCCAACGGAATAAGTTTAAACAGCATCATACACACAGGTCCTAGGTTACAGCAAGAACTGTCAGATATCTTAGAAAGCATCGCATTGCCTTTTCAGCTGATATAGAGAAAATGTATAGGCACATAAGAATTTCGAAAGAAGACGAACCCTTTCAAAGAATATTATGGAGATTCAATACATCGAAGCCTATACAGGAATATAAAGCTCCATACTTAACTGTTAAAACGTTACAACTCGAGACCCATCCACAAACCCACCACCTCTTTTAGAGAAAATGATACCCTGAGTCTTATCAGGATTTATCCTCAAGCCATGATTACTAATTTCCGTGCACAGAATTTTCAACTTGCCAGTAATAATACGACACATAGAAGAAATTTCATCAGGTTTAGCTGTAACACAATGCGTGTCATAAGAGGGGCCCAAAATAGAACCTTGAGGAACACCAGAAGAGCAGATCACATGATTTGATAAAACAGAATTTAGCTTTACCGACTTAACCCTATTTGATAGATAGCTATAGAATAGTTTAACTGCATAAACATCCAATCCAATAAACTTCAAAATGCACAACAGGAGACTATGATCAAGGATGTCAAAGGCCTTAGTGAAATAAAGTAAAATTAATACTGTGGATTTACCCTGGTCGACAGACCTGAGTACATCATCAGTCAAATCCAGGAGCGCAGTAGCACAACTGTTTCTTGAACCCCGACTGCTTAAATTAAAATGCAATGTGTTTCCAGATAAATATTTAACTTCTCTATCATAACTCTTTCTAAGATCTTTGAAAGAACCGGCAGAATTATAATGGGCCTCAGATCCCTACAACTAGTGATAGGAACAACTTTGGGAATGGGAACAACAAAACCATACAATTCCAGCTATCCGGAAACACTGAATGAATCAAACAAAAATTGAACAGATGGATAAGCACGTCAAGAACACGGGGACAACACAGTCGAATCATATCAAGGCTGACTCCATCAGATCCAACTCCTATAGACCTTAGATTCAATAAAATCTGCTGGATACACTCAGTAGAGACCTCACTAAATGCAAACATGGACGAAGCAGGACGCATCCTATTATTGTTATAAAAAGCAAGAAGATCAATATCAGGAGTAACCTTGATTGATAACATTAGGAACACCAGTGACGTAATTTCGTGGTCTTATAATATTGAAAACTCTGCTGACTGCTAATCCTTTTATATTTAGCAAATGCCTCATTCCTTAGTTTAATCATTTTCCTGACATTCCAAGTGATACATGGCAAAGCAAGTTTTCTGATTACCTTAATAATCACAGGAGCATGAAAATCAAATAAGGGTAACATAGTATCATTAAAGCAATTTAGTTTGTCATCAATTGTATTAAGATCAAGGACAGCCACCCAATTCATCAATTGCAGATCCTCATTAAAGGCACGAACGTCAATACCACGGAGATCACGAAAACTAATAACTCTAGCCTTAGACTTAGTACTCATTGATAACTCACAAAAAACTAACAAGTGATCCGAGAACCCAACATCGACAGTGTCACAAAGACGAAGAGGCAAATCATTTGGTAAAATAATAACATCAATGAATGTTTCAGAAAAATTGGTGATACGAGTTGGCTGGTCAACAATCTGCCTTAAACTAAAAGTATTTAGAATGGAAAGTAAATAATCAGTAGAGGGACCAGGCACCATGATGTTAATCTTAAAATCACCCAAAATTATTACTCTATCCATTGCAACATAAATCTCTGACAATGACTCCTCAAACGAACGAATAAACAAATTAATATCAAAAGAAGGAGGCCTATAAACAACTCCAACTGCAAAATTTAAGCCATTGAGCCAAACCTGAACCCAAAGCTCGTTAAACCCAAAGCTAGCGTTCCTAGTGGAGGCAATCTTTCGCAGGGGCAAAAGCCTACAGCTGCCAACTTCAAGCAGGTGTTGAAAGGTAAAAAGATGGGAATTGCAGATTCCCTATTTCCAGAGGTGAACCTCACAACAGCCCAAATGCAGGCTATTCAAGAGGTCATCATCTCAAGAATTGTGGACCTTAGCGACGGACATGAAGGCGAAATCAAGCCTAAGTTCAGCTTCTGTGAAGGCATAGATAATACGCCTAAAGTTGCTCGTCTGCATAAGATCTTGGCAAAAGATCACAACACTGA